ACGAACATGATTCAATTTATGTATGTGCGCTATGATTTACAAATGTACTGTTTGATCTTCAATAAAGTTTATAAAATATTTTTTTTTAAAATAGAATAAATGACAAACATTCCATCCTTGGTTACATCTCAAGAACATCCTGAGACATCGGGTGCAGTGTTCCCTCTAAGGTGAGTTAGTGTGAGCCAGCTCACTTTTTTTTAGCCTCCGGCTCACACATTTTTGCCTTAGCTCGGGAAGAAGAAGAAGAGGAGATTGGATTGATACCCCGCCCTTCACTTGGAGTCTCAGAGCAGCTTACAAACTCCTTTCCCTTCCCCTCCCCACAACAGACACCCTGTGAGGTGGGTGGGGCTGAGAGAACTCTGACACAAACTGCTCTTTTTCAAGGACAGCTGTGCCAGAGCTTGTGGCTGACCCAAGGTCACATCAGCAGGTGCCAGTGGAGGAGTGGGGAATCAAAGCCGGTTCTCCCAGATTAGAGTCTGCACACTTAACCACTACACTACACCCAGCAGCTGCATGTGGAGGAGTGGGGAATCAAACCCGGTTCTCCCAGATTAGAGTCCGCGCTCCTAACCACTACACCAAACTGGCTCTCAGGAGGGCTCCCAAGCAAACTAATTTATGCAGAAGCCAAATCGCTCGCTTACAACTTTAATGCCAGCAGCTCACAAAGTAGAATATTTGCTCACAGGACTCCACAGCTTAGAGGGAGCACTGATCGAGTGGCTCCGTCAGTCACCCAGACCTGGCCTGGCCTTATGCCAGTACTTGGCTGTGAGGATTAGGATCCAGGGCTGATGCCCTGCCCTGCCCTGTCCTCTCCCCTGGAGATCTTGGTCACAATTCTCAGAGGTTTGTGTTTCATAATCAAATTTGGTCCCAAAGAGGAGAAGCTTCCAAACCCCGGATGGCTCCTCATCCCTTCTGCGGAGCTTCTGGAAGTCTTGCCTCTTGGACGAGGATAGAGGAGTCAGCCGTGGATTTGTTGCATTTCTTTCCCATCTCCCTTCCATTATGGAACAGAGGGGCTGTGGCTCGGCGGTGGAGCATCCGCATGGCACACAGAAGGTCCCAGGTTCAATCCCTGGCACCTCCAGTTAAAGATCGTGGCAGTAGGCGATGTGAAAGACCCTCAGCCCAAGAGCTTGGAGTGCTGCTGCCAGTCTGAGTAGACAATACTGACTTTGACGGACCGAGGGTCTGGTTTGGTGTCAGGCAGCTTCACGTGTCCGTGGAGCTCTAGGAGGTGAACACTGGGTTCCCGACAGGCAGTGACCGGATCGAGACCTGCTTGGCTTTAGCATGGCTGTCGCATGGCATGCCCTCTTAGTCCATCATCAGAGAAGACACAGGAAGCTGCTTGACACTGAATCAGAATCTCAGCCAGTACTGCCTACCCAGACTGGCAGCGGTTCTCCAGGGTCTCAGGCAGAGGTCTTTCACATCAACCACTACCTGATGCTTTTAGCTGGAGATGCCGGGGCTTGAACCTGCGACCTTCGGCATGCAAAGCAGGGGTTCTTCCACTGAGCCACAGCCCCTCCCTGTCTCTCCTCCATGAGCACAAAGGACCCAGCCTTTCTTTCTGTGGTCCAACCCACAAGATGGAACACTGTGCACAGCAGAGCTAGGAGGAAGAAGGAGGAGGAGGAGGAGGCAGCTGCATGTAGAGGAGTGGGGAATCAAACCCGGTTCTCCCAGATTAGAGTCCATGCACTTAACCACTACACCAAACTGAAGAGAAGAAGAAGAGATTGGATTTATACCCCGCCCTTCACTACCTGAAGGAGTCTCAGAGAGGCTTACAATCTCTTTTCCCTTCCCCTCCCCACAACAGACATCCTGTGAGGTAGGTGGGGCGGAGAGAGCTCTTTCAAGAACTGCTCCTGAGAGAACAGCTCTGAAAGTATTTGTGAATGACCCAAGGTCACACCAGCAGCTGCATGTGGAGGAGTGGGGGAATCAAACCCGGTTCTCCCAGATTAGAGTCCGCGCACTTCACCACGACACCAAACTGTGCGCAAGGCCTGTAATAGCCGCAAATCCATTTCCGCGACCCAAGGTTTTAAAAAAATCCCAAACACAAACAGAGAATGGACCGGAGTGCTCCGGTTTCCACTGACTTTTCCCATATCTGTGCTCCTCTACGTTCCACAACATGCTCTGGTGGTAGCCCTTGGAAATCTTCTCCCCAATGATCTCCAGCTGCCGATAGCCCCACTCGGGCAGGGAGGCGCCACTGAGCTGGGAAATAAGAGGGGCGGAGAGGAGGAGAAGCAGGTTAGCTTTTGGCCGCTAACCCAACATACTCGCGCCCAAGTTGCGCAAGCTGTCAGGACAGCTGTCGGAAAAGGAAACCCTGCAATCCGTTTACCTTCAGCACTGCCGAGGTGTTCACGTGGACAAACCGTACTTCAGACAGGATCGTCTTCCAAATGTCCCCATCCGAGTCCCGGTTCACGATTTCCTGCAACGGGAGTGGAAGACTTCGCATTTGACCGTTATTTACAGAGGAGGTGGCCTGCGATCCACTGCAGCTCTGCCCCCGCCCACAGATAAACGGACAGGGGCGACACTCTGAACTTTCCATTTAAATGCATGATTATCTTACTTCGGTGAAAGGCTACTGGCTAGTTATTGAAGAACAGGACTTCAGCACCGCCAAACTGATCTGGGTTAGAACTAGGAAAGGCGTTCTGCCAGCTCAGCAAATCATACCGGACTTTCAGCCTAACAAAATTTGTGGCAGGGTATGAACTTTTGTGAGTCGCTGCTCAATTCTTCAGAACTCGCAAAAGCTCCTGCCCGGCCAGATAGTTTGTTATTCTGTAAGGCTGTGGAAGGTTGGTAGTTCAGCAGTTCAAGACCCGGGTGCCGCATGACGGAGTGAGCTCCCGTCTCTAGTTCCAGCTCCTGCCAACCTAGCAGTTCAAAAGCAAGAAATTGCAAGTAGATAAATAGGGACCACTTCGGTGGGAAGGTAACAGCGTTCCGTGTGCCTTGGTGTTTAGTCATGCCGGCCACATGACCACGGAGACGTCTTCGGACAGCGCTGGCTCTTCGGCTTTGAAACAGAGATGAGCACCGCAACCCTAGAGTCGGACTCGACTGGCATTCGAGCAAGGGAACCTTTACCTTTACGGCTCTACTGGACTCTTGCCCTTTTCTTTTTTAGATTTTTTAAAAATTATTTTCTCAAAGAAAATGTGGGCTACAGAAGGGAAGAAGGGGCAGAGGAAAAATATAAACTCATCAGCTTTGTCAAGACTCTTGCCCTTTTCTTTTTTAGATTTTTAAAATTTATTTTCTCAAAGAAAGTGTGGGCTACAGAAGGGAAGAAAGGGCAGAGGAAAAATATAAACTCATCAGGTTTGTCAAATATTGCGAGTTGTTACGTACAACAGGTAAAATCATATGTATCACCGAATGTACTACATATTTCAAAAACAGAAGCAGACGATAAAACGTCAATATTACAGGATTTTAGGAAAGGTTCTCTCTTTAAAGAATAAACAAGGACTTTCCTAAAGTTACTGCTACAGACAGACTATCACAGCTACACATCTCGAACTAGGCCAGGCTTTCCTAACTCTTTATATAAAACAACAAGGCAAAGTCACCATTTGGGGGGGGGGGGAACACTTATCTTTCTTTTCCTTGCCTGGTATTTTTCACTGCCATCAGCTTGGACACAACTCCCGTGCCCTGTAACATCTGCGGGCTGATGTAGGGCTTCCTGCCATTTGTTGTGGCAAGTGATGCTCTGTCATCTTGGTGCTTGGGGGGGGGTCAACAGTGGGAGGGCTTCTAACAGTGGCTATTAGCCACAAGGTATAGATAGGGGCTCTGGGGCAAGTGATGCTCTGTCTTCTTGGTGCTTGGGGGGGGGTCAACAGTGGGAGGGCTTCTAATGTCCTGGCCCCACTGGTGGACCTCCTGATGGCACTGGTATTTCTGGCCACTGTGTGATACAGAGTGTTGGACTGGATGGGCCTTTGGCCTGATCCAACATTGGCGTCTCTTATGTTCTTATGTTCTTATGTTGTGAACACAGGCCAAGCTGCCATCTACAGAATCAGACCCTTGACAATGGCTCTCCAAAGTCTGAGGCAGAGGTCTTTCACGTCATCTACTGCCTGGTCCTCTTTAACCGGAGACGCCAGGGCTTGAACCTGGGAGCTTCTGCATGCAAAGCAGAGGCTCTTCCACTGAGCCACGCCCCCCCCCCCTTGTGGGAAAGAGGCCCTGCTTTTGAGGCCCCGAAGAAGCACTGCCAGACCAGGCTGGATGAGAGAGACCCACTGGCCGTCAGCGCAATACACGGTGTGGCTGTCCCTTACGTTCTGCCCTGGCCTCAGATACAACGGCCCCTGCCAAAAGCAGAAGCGACTGCTTTTAACCTAAGGAACATTTGATTGGGAACATTTGGCTGTACAATCTCAGAAGAATATACAGTCGACCAGAGAGAAGTACCACTGGACATGTGATTTACACTGGAGGCTTCATTTGTATTTCTGTACTTCTTTTCCTTGCCCAGTGGTTAAACTTTGGAACAATTGATTTCTGGTCTTTATTCCATATTTTGTATATGTAGGATTGTATGTATTTTTGCACATCAGCCAATATGTTCTGTATGTATTAGACCTCTGAGGAAGGCCTGTAAAGGCCTGTAAAGGCCGAAACGCGTTAGGTCTATCTTATTAAGGCCCCGGTCACACGGGCAGGAAACTGCGCGGGGGAAGCGTGGCAGTTTGCCCCAGGGCAAACTAACGCGTGGTAAAGAGATCAGACCTCCCGGTGAGGTACCGTGGAGGTTCCGTGGGAAGGGAGAGGTGCTGATCGCAAGACAATTCCGCGTGCAAAAAAGAAGCGTGCGGTGCGGCAAACTGGATGGGTTTTTTTTCGTGTACACCACGACTGTGCATGCTCTGTTGGGTGCTTGTGCGCATCCACGGAGATGTGGGGAAAAAACACCTTTTTCGCAAGGGGACATGGGCGGGCGCCGGATGCCTCCGGAAACGTGATCAGACGCCTGCCCTTGCCCCGCAGGTACTAGTTTTTTGCTGCGTGT